AATTCTGCACAGTCCTTTTTTTATGTTTAATCATTACATTAGGTTTCTTTTTGAAGGCGGTACAGCACTTGTGTGGCATAAATGTGTCCTATTGAGAATAAGGTTGTCATATTTGCCATTTCTGATTGATTCTGAGTATCAGGGAAGCTACTCGCTTTGATCAAGATGTTATTAAATTCAGTATATTTAATCAACTGCTTATGATCTTAACTACAACCGAAAAGTGCTCTAACCTCTTTAAAGAAAGCAGCAGGGGGCAGAGTGCAATAGCCATCATCGTCTTCATCAGCCCCTTCGCCATACTCCTCATCGTTTTGCTCTTCCTCCATCAGTTTCTTAAGGGCTACATACCAATCCTCCTGCTCCTTCTGGTCCTCCATCACCAGCACCATGGTCTGATCCTTGGGATACAACGCCACAGTGTGGCCTTTCCGGGAACTGGCAATCCGGCTCACGCCAAGACAGCACCGCAAGTAAATCACTCTGGGGAATTAAATACAGTTAGATTTTAATGCTTCTTCAGATGAAAATGAAAGACATACATCCTATAAACCCTCTACAAACACCTATTTTTGGACACATGTTTTGAGTATCATACTTTTTAAATTTAGGACTACCTGCTAATTGAAATATTTTTAACTGTATTATTATTTAGAGATTTATGAAGAAACTACTAAAAACATCAATTTGAGGGTGCTGTATTACAGTACATTTTACAACAAACAAATACACTAGTATAATAATTTTGTACCACTTAATGTGACTTAATAGAAACTACGAGCCTTGGTTAAAGGCTTCACATATAAAGTCACTTTTACAGACCCTTGTTTGCTCGACCCAAACAGCGCAGCTTTGCCAGAAGACTTCTCCTTTGCCATGAACTTCTCCTGGCTCTTGTACCACTCGAGTCGGCTCGGCCCAGTGTGACTCCCTGCTCTGAGGACAAAATATCTCTTGTGGTTCCGCTCCAGCTTCCCCAGGTAACCTTGTTTCACCACATCAGTCTGCAGCCCAGACGAGGTCATGAGGGCACTGGCCAGATGGCCCAGAGGGATGGAAGTTTGACCGGCACAGAAAAGTTCCTCATACAAATGAGGCGAAGGACCCTCATTCAACTGACGGCCCCCAGAGTCTTCGTCATGCTCAATTTTACCATCATTCGAGAAAGGCTGCAGAGTTTTCACTGGCAGACATTTTTGGATGGAGCTGCTGTCATGACATGAAAGAGGGGAATAGGAAGCAGGTGGAGATTTTCTTTGGTTGGTGAACCAGTCGTACCCTTCTGCCATTTCATTCAGGACAACCTTTAAACCTGCTGCATGCAGAGAGGGAAAGTAAAAGTGGAGTTAATGAGATGACAGAGGCTCTACCAACAATATTATTAATACTTAATTTAAAAATAACAAAAACAACTCAGTGAGTTGTGGCTCATTTTATTTATTGCTTCTAGAATGGTGAACATTTACTTTATGATTTATGACAATATTGTAGTTTGAATTTAAATCTGATCAACACAAGTCACTGTATCTTTGTCCCTGTTTAGAGTTTAAGTTTGATGATGCATCTCACAGGTGTGAATAAAAAGAAATCAGATTTTACAGTTTCTCCAACGACACAAACATCCTCCACACACTGAAGTGTTTTGTTCAGTTTCTAATTGCTGGGGCCCAGCAGAGTACCAGTCTGAATAGTTGTTTGTTGTGAACCAGACAGTTGTTTTGTTTTAAACTGTGTGACTTTTGAGCATTACTGTTGGCAAAAACCTGGGACATTATGAAAAAAAAAAATGTGTGCAAAAACAAAGCAAATCACAGAAGGGGAATCAAAACTAAGAAATTAAGAGTAAACAGAATCACAGAAGTTCCGATGTTTCCTACGTTAACAACGTGCAGGCATTCTGTAATCAGATTATGAGTTTGAACTTGGAGCTGGTGAAGTTATCTTTCCTGTGACCACAGAAATCTGGTGGATAGATGAACTAAAGATACAAAGCTGAGCCAGGTTTTATTTATAAAGCACCAAACAGTTACAATTAAATATAAGAATTTTTTCTCTTTTAAAAAGTGCAAGACACAAAAACATGGATTGACACAATAAAATAAAACAATAAAATTTCACACTTGGTCAAACGCCACACAGAAAAAGTGGGTCTTCCAAGCAGATTTAAAAATGCCTTTGAATGCAGACTAAGCCTACGTGCTTATTCTGGTTTCTTTTAATAGTAAACTACTGTAAACTGCTTTTTCTCTCACTCAGCTGGTGTGTCTGCAGCAGCAGTGTTATTTTCGGTCTGTATTGGGCGTAACAGTTTCATGTCTTTACTATAGCATAATTTTATCGTCAATTCTGCTGCCAGTAAACTTCATTTTTGTGATTGCGTTAACTTAGCAATCTGATAACCAGCACTGTGTGCCTGTTCCTGCTGATTGTTGATGTTACACTAAAGAGAAGCCAGATAACAGAATGGCACCCTGGGTATGATGAACTCAGTCTTTAGTACAGGGACCTGATCACTACTGAAGACTATCAAAACAAACAACAGACACTAGATGATGAGATTTTCCTTCATAAATCATTTTGAGCATTATCACAACTGCACAAGGTATTACAACCTACTGAATTCAGCTCAAGCTGCTCCAAGAACTGCCTCTTAAACTAAGGTCTCTTTATGATGCAAGCTTTCAGCAGTTCAATATTAGAATGGATTGCTCCCTATGGATTTAAAGAATGTCTAATATGATAGTGGAGTTCAAAGCACACATACTAGAGTCATTCACAGTACCCTGCAAATAATGAAACATGCTATAGCAATGCATAGGGTGCGTGGGGTTCATCAGAGGGTGGGGGTAATAGCAGCAGTGAGGCTCTTAGGTTCATGGCCAAATGTCTCAGGTCAGCAATGCAACGAGGTCCTACACCCAAAGAGCGATTCGTTCCATTCTCTCCATTTTATAGCCTCTATGACTAAGGTCAGTTAGCTAAGATGATGGCAAAGCAGCAGGAATGTCCATTTCGTAACACAAAGCAAAGCAAAAATATATTGATGACTCTACCCTGGAAACAAGCAAATAACAACTGACACAGAAAAGTAATAAAAAGATTTCTGGACACCGTTAACTAATTTGCCTGTTTCTTGTGGCATGCTAAGTTCTCCACAGAAAGTAAGGCTCAGGGGGAGAAAATCACTCAGTGCTTTATGTAAACGAAAAACAGAAGAATAACCCGAGGGCAAACTACTTAGACTGCTGAAAACATGACTGTTCAGCTAATTTGTGGAGTAAAACCGTTTGCGTACAAGAAATGTGACAAATTACAGATTTTCGAGGTAAAACAACTTTTTAAATGTACTAAAACAAAACTACACATTTGTGAATAGTACAGTTTAGGGTCTCTCTTCGGAGTTAACAGCTTCTTCCCATCAGCTAGCAGAGTTACCACTGTGGCGGAGTGAAACTTACCTGTGGCAGGCAGCTATAAGTGTAACACCTGCAGGTACGCGCTTTCCCGGCTGCTTTCATAACACGCCGCTGTTTTTCCCGTCGCTCTCCGGGCTCAGTGTGTTTGTCTCTCAGCTGCTCCGAGATTCCAATCAGTGTGGCCTTCAGGGGTCTCTCGTGAAAAACACAACTGTATGAAACCATACAGTCCATGGTGGAAAAGAAAAGAAAAAAAACTGGACAGATGCGTTGAAGTACAGAGCAAAGTCATCTTGGCTGTATTGAGCTTTAAATCTGAGCTTTCAGTAGTATGAAAGTTTTACCTGGCTTAATCACCATGGTAAGCTATGCTGTGAATTAGAGGCGAGCAGATCGAAACAAATATAACCTGATACCGGAGCAGAAGCTTAAACTACAAAGCAGGATTTTGTCTTATGTAACTTCAGGGTTACCTATACTATGAAGGGGGTTCACTTCTCACAGGATTAAATCGCCATGGTAACTTATGCTGTGAATCAGAGGTGAGCAGATCAAAACAAATACTGCTTATTTCAGCTAAAACAAAGTCTATTGTATCGATACCAACACGTATTGGGTCGATACTAGCATAACAGGGCTGATATTTTGTTTCAGTCCTCTATGTCCAGTATGTAGCCCACTGTAGCTGTACTGTGAAAAATGTCAGAACCTTTTTGCACTGACTGTCACATCTATTTTATTTATAGCCTTGCTTTTAAACAATGGAAGTTAACACAAACTCCTTAAGAGACAGGTATGTTTACATTTCAGGTCTCCAAAAACCCCAGTTTCAAAAAAACCTGAAAACCTGAGGTGTGTTTTGTTGTGTTAACAGTGATTTAGTGCTCATTAAAATGTGTTAAGAATTTGTAACTTGATGATTAATCTCATAAGTCATGACGCACTGCTCACCCAGACATAAGCTGCCTTTGTAAGATCAAAATATCGGTATTGGTACCGGCCATGTAATTACTTAGCATCCGATCAGTACCAGAAGTTGCACTATTGCACATGCCTGCCTTGAACCAAACCTGCACCAGAGCAGATTAAGATCTATCTTAGAGATTAACAGGTATAACATCGCTGCCTATATAGTGTCACCATCCCTGGAAGATCTTTCAGATCTCTGTGCGTGACACCCTGATTAGAAGTTTTTTTTCATTCCCAGATGAGCATCTTGTTGAATGTCTCCATTACGAACATTTTGCTCCAACCCTCTACATATCAAATATAACACAGCGAGGTCGTGCTTTTCACATCAGACTAACCTTTGTGTGGCAATTTGCTTTGTCACCATCAGGGGTTTCCTTTATGACACAAACTATGCACCAGTTAGAAAGATTTACTTTTCTCTTACACATGAGCTACAAAATTTTGTATAAGAAATCTCGTAAGGTAAGAAGGAGTATTAAAGAGGAATTCTGTAGCACAGCAGGTGACTGATGTACAAGTCCTTCAGTTATACTTCATGATTAAACTTGGGATTGTAGCTGCTGTAATTAAACTTCCCCATCTCCGGGTGGACAAGACTCTAGGAATATTCAAATCCTGGTGCCAGTGCCTGCATAGACTCAAGGTATCATCAGAGAGAACATGCGACATCATTGTGGCATGTGTTGTTCTCCATAATATTGCCTCTCTTAGCAGCACCCTGCCATATGAGTGGATGAACCTGGGGAAGAGGATCCTGTTCACCCTGAAAATGTTCATGATGCAAGAGCTGTCAGAGAAACCATTTGCTAAAATCGCTCTTCAGATTAGTTTACCCCACCCCCAGAGGATAAATCAGGACTCTTTATTCAACATTTTATTTGTTCTTCTTTATTTCCTACAAATACAAAACCAGCCATTATCATTTGTGCATTTATCTGAGAGTAACCACCTGTAACATGTTACCCACCTCTAGCTGGTGCTCCAGTAATTCAATTTCCAGATCTGTCTTTCTAATCTGACGATCCAAGTATGTGATTTCTTTGTCAGTTTTTGTCATTGTTTGGATGAGGTGCATTTTGTAAATTTCTTTAACTGGTAACTGTAAAATGTAAGAATGGCTTGAAATGTATGCATGGTGCAGTTTAAATAAAGCTATGAAAATGCAGAATGGCATTGAACGTCTCACTGTGTTAATATGTGCTGGGGTAGTTGATGGAGCTTCCTCTTGATAATGTTCGGCCTTGCTCTGTTAATTTAAAAGATAAAAACATGAATATGAAGGTTGTTTTCCGGTCATCGTCATCACTTCACTGCACATTTCAAATACAAGAACACACGACTAAAACATACCTCTACTGTCATGGTGTGTACCTCACTAGGTCTATCTGGTTCCATCTCAGCAGATAATGTATCCTTATCATCATCTTCGTCTGCTTCCTGTGATGAAGAGCAACATTCTGTTTTAGAAACCTTTCTTTAGAAATATCTCAGGAGCACTCAGTCACCTACTTACAGATGGAAGGGATGGAAATGCTTCTGCTGAAGTAGGAGTCTCATCAAGGCCATCAGCAACTGTTGAAATAAATATGCAGATGTGTTATAGCACATGATGGCATTATGAATAAGTCAGCAGGGAACAGCATTCCTAAGTAATAAAGACATTATGGAAAATGCATGTCCACGCTAATACTAGTAACAAGGATCAGTACTGCACTGCTGATGAAGAAATTTAGCTACTGTTGCACCAAATGTACTGAACCTTTAGTTGAGACAATGCAGACAGAAATGATCCCATTTCAAACACTTGTGAATTGTAATTTGTAGTATAACTCACTATGTACCGTGGTCAGACGTGGCCAAAGAGTCTGGCTGAGATGGTTCCTGAAGTGTTGCTTCTTTTTAGTTATTTTTTAAAGAGATATAAATGAATTCGATTTTTGGTTTGTTTGTTTGTTGCATTTGAACCTTTATGCTTTGCCTTTTACTTCACTCAGTGATTCATTAAATTTTCATTCACTTTAACACTTAAACTGTTGGCACTAAAATTTACTTGGTTATGTTTATAAAAAGGAAGGAAATGAGAATTTCATCCCACATATTCAAATTTCATGTATGTGTGTGCTATAAATAATTACATTTTATGCAGACACTTGCGCTCTGTGGGGTGACGGGCTCAGCCACCGGGCATCCAGTATCCTTACTCTTGGAAAACTCTTCTGCCTCAGTCAGCATGGATGGAGGTGCCCCTTCAACCACTTTGCGAGCCTCTGCCTTCTTTCTGTTAGCTAAATTGAAGCCATATGTTAATCTGAGCAGGATATTAGGCCTGTGGGTTTAAAAAAAATAAATTATGGACTCATATACAAAAGAAAAAGTGGGCCTTACCTGTTTGAACTATGTTTTTATATTTCATTTTCAGCTGCTGCCAAGTCCTTTTTGTCCCCGTGGGATTGCACCTTAATTAAAATTATGAGTAAAAATTCGCCTGTAAATGCATCTCAGGATTCACATGTATTTACCGTTTCAACTCACGCATTTACACGCGCTGCAATTCTCTCCCACGCCAGTTCTCTCTCCTTTGCTGCTGCAGCCGTGTTGCCTTTCTTGCTAAAAATGTGTTCGTACTCTCCATATACACTCAGCAGAATATCTATTTCAAGTGGGGTGAAGTAAGCCGAGCGTTTTCTCTGCCCGGTTTCCATGGTGAATCATAGGCTTTTGGATTTTGGATTGGGTTTAAAAAAAAAGGTATCACGCACGTGCTTACCTCAGGGTGGGCATACTCAGAGTTGATTAAACTAACTCTGATCAGCTGTTCTGGACGCTCAGCGTTTATCAATTCGGAGTTTCTTTTGAGTTTGTTGATCTCCCTTCCTGGATAAGAGCCCTGCTATACAGTCTTCTTCTTCTTCTTTTTATTATTATTATTGTTGTTGTTGTTGTGTGTTTGTATTCAGAGTTACGTCATGTATTTCTATGGACATAAAACACTCCGTGGTTCTTATAGTGATGACTGACATGCCTCATGCATGCTGAACACTCCCGATATGAAAATCTCTTTCTACTTGGATGGGAGACCGCTTGGGCACTTCCTTCTACAAGCTGCAGAGGGCGCTGTTTGTCCTTTTACACATGCTACAGTGTCATGTTTTTATTGCCGCATGAAGATTATAAGTATCATTATAGAGTTTCCTTTAACATGTTTTTGTGCACCTGCCAGTTTAAAGGCACATTTATTTCAGCATTTTTATGTCAGTTTAAACGAAGTCCATTGTTGCAAATTAGAGAAAATGTTGTGTATTATGTAACAGTCTGAAGCACAATGGATAGAAAAAAGATCATGTGTTCATGATCACATCCAACAACAAGCTGTTCTCTAACCGTTTCAGGTGGTGTTTTACACTTTAAAACACAATGTACAACAAGTCGTATGTGAGATGCAGATGTGGCATTGACTCAGTGACTTTGAATAATTCACAGAGCAGAGCTGTCTGTTACTTATCTCTCAACTGTTACAACCTAGTGCTCATAATTACTTCATTCATACCCAAGCAGTCATGTTTGTGTCGTCAAAATCTTTTTGAATAAGCTGTAAAGCATTATAGATGTAGCATTATCACCACTGGAAAACACATTTAATATCATAATACATTTAAGTGCAGAAGCAAAAATAACAACAAAATCACAAAGATATTCTTTCTTTTCTTTCTTTCTTCTTTCTATATTTGCATATGTGGCTGTTGTGACCTTTTGATCCTCACAAAGATGCCTGTCATTTTAGATTAGTGAAACTGATTACTTTTAAGTATTTGTTACATTCTGTACAGCATGGTTACCCCAGGCGGTTGTTTATATTTTATAATCTAAACTTGACTTTCAGCTTTGAATTGCATTTACATTAGATTAACGGTGCCACAACTTTCCAAGTGAAAAACTTTTGGATAAATTCTGGAAGATGGCATTTAAATTATCATGTCAAATACTGTTAAAATCCTTTTTTCTATAACTCGCACATACCAGTAAATACTTTTCCTGGTAATATTCTGCTTCCTCTAATCTGTATCTTTAGTTTCACTTTTTAAATTAGTTGATCGAATTCACGCCGTTTTCTTGGTGATGCGTTTCTTTTGTCTGCTGACATCAACCGATAGTTTCTCATCATTATGCTGCTGTCAGTTCAGATGAGAGAAGTTATCTTCCAGCCAACTTAAACTTTTTTTTGAATAAGCAGCAGGGCATTTTGCATCCACATAAGATGAACTGTTCAGATTGTAACTCTGTTATACAGCATCCACTTTGACTGGGAGCTTTTGAGCAAACAAAGTTGTCATTTTTAGTATTTAATATTTAAATAATTTGTGGTGAGAGAACACACAAGCCTTCATGCAACAGCTATACTTTAGATGAGGCCTCCTCCTTGGTGTTGTTCTCTGAGGCTGCTAGCGTGGCTGATTTGACTTGTTGCTTCAGGCGAGGTCAGATAACACTTTTTTAGTTGTTCTGTTGAAGAAGACAAAAATAAAAGAGTAAAAATTCAACCACTTTCTTTCACTGTATGACATGATGTATGATTGTAAAAGAAAACAACTATTTTTTTTAGAGCAAAAAAGAGCAAAAAAAATTCTAAAGGGAACATTTATTTATTTTTATTTTATTTTATTGGTATTTTCCATAATTGTGTCAAATATATATTTTCTCATCTTAATGTCCACTGAACAATGAGCCAGGGGGCGGTAATGCGCCTTAACATTGGTTGCCAACCAAGAAGAAGAAGCTGTGACCCAGGAGGGAGGGGGTGAGTGAGTGATTCGCAACAGGAAGGGAGGGGGTGAGTGAGTGAGTGATTCGTTCAACTCGTTTGAGCTGTGAGCCAGGAGGGAGGGGGTTAGAGAGTCCTGAGTGATTCGCTTATGCTATGATTCAGCACAGCAAGGGAGGGGGTGAGTAACTCCAATGTGCTGTTAGCATGTTAGCTGAGCGATGCTACTGTGAACCGAGGAGCTATTGTGAGCTCCTCGGTTCACAGTAGAAGCTCGGTTTACTGAGCTTCTACTCAGGGTTTTTTCTTCCAGTTCAGAGCAGAAATGTTTTTGTTAAGAAACTGGCTGTTCCCCCCTCACACACACACAATTTTAATTATAAGCTAGATATATTTCTACTAATGGAATTAGTTTGCTAACAGCAACAGGGATGAGTCAGTGAGTCAGTTGCGCTTGTGAATCATGATTCACAAGTCAGTAAAGTGATTGAACGATTCGTTCACGAATTGAACATCACTAAGTCATACGCATGTGAACATGAGTGACATTCATTCGTAACCACAGGGTTTAACATGATGCCGGCCAACTCTTTGCCTTTTGTTTATGGGTATTTTTGACCTTTCTTCCAGAAGTGCATTTGTGTGGACAGACACTGACGTTGGACGAGAAGATTTGGCTCGCCTCTGTGAAGGCCAGTCAAGTCTTCCACACCAAACTCGCTCATCCATGTCTTTATAGATCTTACTTTGTGCACTGGTGTGGAGTCATGTTGGAACAGGAAAGGGCCATCCTCAAACTGAAATTATCCAAAATGTCTTGGTTTGCTGAAGCATTAAGACTTCCTTTCACTAGAACTAAGGCTACGTTCACACTGCAGGCGAAAGCGCATCAAATCCGACTTTTTTGACCCTATGCGACTGTTGTAGAGACCCACCCTTTGGCACATCCCAGCACACCCACTCACTTCACCAGATGCACCTTGTTTAGTTCTCTCACCTTTGATTGGGTGTGGTGCTTGTCCTCAATTGCACTCACCTGTCACACATTATATGTCACACATTATATAAGGACTGCATTCACTTTTGGCTCACTCTTTCTTCACTTCCACACGGGGCGGCAGCTGAGGTGAGGTTCTATTTGGGTTTTATTTTATGTATTGTTTAAGGGAATGAGTAACTTAAATCTGTTTTCCTGTTTTCTTTCAGCTGTGGCAGTCCATGTGTGTCTTTGTTTCCTTCCTTCTTTGCCTTATTTATTTGAGAATAAAAGGAGAACCCTGAGAATAATTCTGAATTAGATGGCTGCTTTTTCTTATTCTAACCGGATGAGCCCATGATGCTGATTGCTTCAGCCCTGAACCTTCCTTCCTTCAAAACATGGACCCATCTATCCGATCATGGTATGACAGTGTGAACGGCACAAATCCGATATTTTCAAATCCGATCTGGGTCACTTTCGTATGTGGTACTGAATCCGATACATATCTGATGTTTTAGAAAGCGACTGCTGTTTGATGGTCATGTCGCATTAAATCCGTCTTTTACGTCACTGACACAAGACAGACGCCATTATCAGCGCCGGAGAAGACATCGTGAACGCTTCCTGGCCATCCAGTGAAACTGTTGGGAAGACAACGTTGGAGAAACGTGAACATTTTATTTGTACTGTATAATCTGCAGATTCTGACAGAAATCTGCAGCTATCCTTTGAAGCACCGCTCCTCTCTAAAACAGCAATAAGGATCATTATTAGGCTCATATTATGTAAATAACAAAATAACTTAAAGCAAAATTGGGAAACGTAAAGTCCGAAGTCTTTATATTAAGGGCCATCAGTCAAACAATACTGTTTGCTCTGGGTCTAAACAGAGCGCTGTTGTGTGTGACGTCTTTTTTTTTTTTTTTTTTTTTTTTTTTTTTTTTTTTTTGTGTCCCGTTTGGATCTTTAGCCATCAGAATTGTTGTCTTAAGGCCAAGAAAGATGCCAAGCGGATTTATTTTACCAAGTGGATCATCATGGCCTTGCCATATTGGTCCATTTGATTGACCTTTATTATAATTATGAATTTATTTTATTTTCGTTGCTACAAACGGGACAGACATGACTGGGGGATAGGACAGGGAGAAAGAATGAAAGAAAGAGAGGGAGAGAAAGAAAACCAAAGGGGAGAAGAGACGGTGAGAAGGGGGAAGAAAGAAAAAACAACAAAAAAAAAAACACCTGGGTCACCTGTATGGAGAAAAAAAACAGAAGAGAAAGCAAACAACAAAGAGCAACATAATAAAAAACAGCACCATCACAATAAACTAGCTAGCAGTAGATATCAGTAGATACTAAATAATAAACGATATTGTGCAGCACGCAAGATAGACAGCGCACAATGTGCTTTGAGGCAGCAGCCAAGAAAGCTGTAGTCCGCGTCTGTGAATACCCAGTGTGTACACCTGTGTGCATACCTGTGTGGATCAGCATGCTTGCATTCCAAAGGTTTCTCCATGTAATCGATCTGCTAGGGAGTGTGGGGGGGCCACAGCCCCGTCCTCCAGGTGCTGAAGCGGGTATGGAGGAGATCAAAACTCCAGACATCCAGAGGCCCCCAGAAACAAGGACCAAGGAAGACCAACAGAGGGGCAGCTGCGCCACTGTCCCAGTAAGAGCTGAGGAGAGTCCCAGATGAGGGCTCACTCACAGCGGAGCAGCCAGGGGGAGTTGCAGTGACGCGCCCGTGAGCTCCGCCGGCAGCCAGCTGTGCCTGAGTGACCGAGCCCCAGGCCGAGAGGCCGGGGGCACCCCACCTCCGAAGTGGCCCGAGCGAGCCCCAGGCTCCAGGCCCCGATAAGCGGCCGCCAAGGAGTGAGCCGGTGTGTACCCGGACGCCCACTCCCCAGACACAAGAGAACCACCAACGCACCGACACCGAGGGAGTCCGCCACCGGCAGGGGAAGTGGTGGTGGGTG